TTCTCCTTCTCTCCTTCCTTTCCCCTTCCTTTTCTTCTTCTCTCCTTCCTTCCCTCCCTCCTTTCCTCTCTCCTTCCTACCCCCCTTTCTTCTCTTTCTTCTCTCCTTCCTTCCTTCCTGCTCTCCTTTCCCTTCTCTCCTTATTCTATTGCAGGGGATCTCCCCTAACCATTTTTTAAACCGATGGATATATTTGAAATATTGAGGATACACCGGAGGCACCAGAGTTGTCATTTAGTAAGGAGATTATATAAAATGATTGAAAAAAACGTGGGAAGAGCGGTATTCATAAATATCATGCTGGGGTTCCAGATCTGCTATATATGGTTCATACAGTTTGACATACAACCACGATGGAGGCCAAAATTTTGACTGCAAGGCATTGTGATCGTAAGTCAAGGCACTACGTAACTGGACTTGATTTTATGATTGTTTTATGACCATTAGAGTACAATCATTAACCAAATCTAACATATCCAATGAGTGGGTTTTTTTTTTGCCATTTTCTGCTGGTTTCACACGAATGCAGGATGCCACAGCCAGTTGTAAATGCACTTAGCAATAGAAATAGCACTTAGACTTATATACCGCTTCACAGTGCTTTGCAGCCCTCTCTAAGCAGTTTACAGAGCCAGCATATTGTCCCCCAATAATCTGGGTCCTCATTTTGAGCCTGATGAGATTCAATCTGCCCAACTGCTGGCAGCCGGTGATCAGCAGAAGTAGCCTGCAGTACTGCACTCTAACCATTGTGCCACCACGGCTCTTACAGTCCCATGACCACAGAAAGGAGTGTGTGGCAGTCATAACTTCAAGGACAGTTCATAAGTAGCTTTTTAAAAAATCTATCTTCAAATGGTTGTTAAGCAACTGGTTGCAAGTTGAGGAATAATTATCCTATTTCCTGCAATGCAGGACTCCTCTGTGAGTAGGAACAGTGCAAATACTCTGTCTGCCTTGCATTACCCCAACAATTCCACTGTTTCCATTGTTAAAAGGGCAAGTTTTGAGACGTAAAAAAAAAAAATCAGACCAAGATAAATCACTTCAGAATTTTTTCTACAGACAACATTTAAGCTGTACAATTCAATTGAAAAACAAACTGAAACATTTTAGGGGGGGAAATAACAATAAAAAAACATACAATAGGAATTAAAGGCAGTAAGTGCTATCTAAATGGATTCAAGGAATATAATCTAGGCCAATCTCTAATCGGCTCAAGAAGGAAAGCTACAAAGATACAACAAGAACTTCATTTAGATGCAAGACGTTTAAGACGGATATATTCTCCATGACTACACAGAGGACGAATCTTTAGGATTCTCTTCCAGATTTCTAAGGGGCATAAAGGGAATTCTGGCAAACTCAATAGGCTGGTATCTGTATGAGCTCAGTTTGCACTGACATTCTAAAATGATTAATGGATTTACGTGAATGTTGGAACAACAGTGTGTTTAGTAGGGGAAAATTGTAACCTATGTTAGTGTTCCTTAAGGACAATTTATTTATTTATTTATTCATTCATTCATTATTCATTTATTATTATTTATTAATTTTTATTATTTATTATTTATTATTTATTATTTATT